TTCACGCAGTTTTCGAAAACTTTGCATCACAGTAAGAATCACGAAATTCTATTAGGTAGGTGGAAAAAACTGTGAAGCAATTTACCAAATTGCCACTGGTATCACAAGAAACATCTTGTCTGCCTGAGGACTGTCTTACCCCTTCCATTTGGGTGAGATTCTCCTAGCCAAGCACGTCAGTTTGTGGGCAGTGTGGGATAAATGGCGTAGGCTATGTTGCTGGAAAACCCCCTCCCTCACATGTCAGTCCCACGCCCATTAAATATTGCCTTTTCTCGTCCTCCAAGTACTCACCACAAATCCTCTCACTCTACGCGACCTGCAGATGCGTTGCTGTCGTGGGTGGGGGTCGGTGTGCATTTGGCTTATTAAAACTATACCTTTGGGTTTGGAGTGATATCTTCAATAAACGGCCAATCTCTTTCCAGAATGGTTGTTGTTTAAAGATCCAGAATGAAAGGATGGAAGATGAGTGAGTAGCTAAATGGTGAATAATTTCCCTGCCAGTAAGCTGGAATATTTTGGTAAGTATCGTCTACTGCACCTGCATCCAAATTAAATACCGTTTTGTCGTGTTGTTGTATACGCACTAAATCAACTCCTTTGGAGAGTTTTGTAATTTATGATTTTTGCCTTTCGAACTGGATCCTAGTTGTACTCAGACTGGGATAATCAGAGCTACGATGTTGTCTTGGTAGTGAGTGAGATCACAGAGTTTTCCATTTGAAAACAATGGCTTCTAGGGTTAGTCAGCTATTCGAGTCACTGATGTCAGATATGAACAGAAGGGTCATACAGACTTGATTCATGAGAAGAATGAAGCTGGCAATCAAAGCTCGTTTTCTGTGATTTGTCTTCCTAGCTATTACATCATAAATTTGTATAGTATTCAAAATCACGTGAAGAAGGTTAAAAGCGGGGGTAAATTCACTTTAGAGGAACAAAACTCGAAAGGAGGGTGGTTGATTGAGGTGTAGGTCGATGGGTAACGGAATCTAGTCAGTTCATTGTCAGACAGCCTTTTGGGACCGGATTTTTTGCAGGCCAGTTCAAGTTCAAAGGTCACAGGAGTTTTGTTTGCAGCAGTCGGATTCCAATAGCCTCTGTGATCGATACTAGTCTGGACCGTACCAGTGGTGATTAGTCCATAGGCACTCGGTATATGATAGCGAAGGCTTGTTTTTTGTGGATGACATGACTCGTTTTTGCCAAATGTGATGCAATTACACTTGAGCCTAGTTACTTCCACTTACCACTCAGAGACACGTGATTGTGTTCTTGCATTCTCAACAAACGCCTTGTCGTACGACTAACGTGAGATGCTCGATACGAGCATACAAATGAGTACGCACAAAAGCAGGTAGTAGAGGGTGACAATTTGTTCTTCAAACTGAAACTGATAGTAGGACTGGAATTGAAGGTCAAACACAGATTAGCAACCGTGCATGTCGTAGAAACAGGGTTTCTGAGTCTTTTGGTAGTTAGTCCAGCAACCGAGTCTTCTGTGGGCGGAATTCTTTCCAGCTGAACATTGTTTAAGTTTGCGTTCAACGGATTGCATGTCTTGAGTAGGAGCTAGTCAGAATATCCATTCTGCAGAAGTGTGCGTCCCAAAAACTTTAGTTCCTTTTGTAAACAGTCGGAGGAGCATATCTTCATTGACCACTCAGTCAAGCAACAAAACAAAGCTACTATACTGATCTTTCCACGTTTGCTTTCTGTGCGCCCTGCGTTCTATGGTCCCGTTAGTCTTCTTTTTAATAGTGGTATCGGTTAAACTTAACTGTTCCTCAAGATCGGAGATGAGAATACCAAGATCTCTACTGTCGCACTCAATTTAGTCACAAATAGTCTATTTTCTCAATGAGTGGTATGTTAGCAAACTTGACGTCTAAGGAGAAACTGGAGTGTTTATCAACGCTTAGATCTTTAACCTGAAATCAAAACTGCCTCTCACGCTATGTTGAAACTCCTCTCCTGATCGGTGCTAACAGACTGGAAACCCATTTAACCAAGGCATGATAAGGTGGATTAGACATATCGAGGGTGGGTCTGAGAGGAAGGCAAGGTTTATGTACTTTTAAGAGACCAGAAAGGCGAGGAATTGTTGTTCCAGTAGAGCGAATACCCTGAAAAGTATTGGTATCAATCTTTTTAGTTAAAACATCATAACATTCTGGACAATCCTTTTTCAATCACGTGTCTTGTCTTTCTCGATTTCTATTTTCTTGAATATGGCTCTATCTGAGGGGAAGATTTTTATCTTATCAATGCAATCAGATATATCAGTTAAGGAAATTATTGCGCCCGGCTTGGACAGAGACTTGGTCTTAGATAAGTGCTCATTTTTATCTTCCAATTTCGCCTACAAATGCCACGCAACTTATTCTTATCATGCAAGTTCTAATTATCTATAAATCTGTGGTTATCCCAAAACTAGGAATGCTTTGGTTGAAAAGGTTATGAACTACCGTTGATCGGATGGTGTCACCTTATCGTCCTAAAAGATGCAAGGTGTTGTGAATTGTCTTGAGAAAAGTGAAAAATTTGTGACTTTCTGTAGTTTCAACTTAAGAGTTATTATTACCATGAATACTTATCAGATTCAATTTTGCCTTGTGACAACAAGTAAGTCTTTTTTGGTTTACACTGGCCTGAAGTGATCAAACTCCATAGGTGTAAGAAGAAGGATACGTGGCCCTTCTGTGAAACGAATGTCAGGGTTAGTATCCTAGTCTCCGTATGGGTTGGTTACGTTAAAGTGGTTGACGAGGGCAGTTTTGCAGGTAGGAGTACCTAAATTTATAAGCTAGTCTCACGTGTCAATAAAATGCTGTTGAGAAAACAGCATATCATACAGTACATCATTCGCGTTGATGACGATAGAGGGAATGTATAACAATCTTGGTGATCCTATTTAAGAAGGGATCCGAATACGTACAGATAACTATTTTGGTGGTTTTATCCCCGTCACGCATGATTTCACAGTCCCTTCAAAATCCTGAGGGAAAATACTGTGTACTAATTTTTAGGTGTGTAGGGGCTGACCAAACTAAAGAAGGTTGCCTCCTATGGTATAGTCTGCAGTAATCTGCTCCGTGTCTAACACTCACACTAGCCACCATTCGTTCGGTTTTGGTTTTTTGAGAGTCCTCGTCCAAGAAGAAGGCAAACTGACTTGGTATTAAATTTATTTATATTACGATTTAGGCTATCCTCCAGAAGAGGCATTTTCAAAAAGAAAGTAGCCTCATCAGCCGGGCTGTAAAGTAACCCAGATTCGCAATCAAGGCTTAGGCTTCGCAGACGGAGCAACACTAAAACATGTTTGTTGCTATTAGCTAAAGTTACTCGTGGCTACTCTGAGCCACAAGTAGCTCGGAGGAAGAAGAATTTCATGAGGTGGATGAAAATTCCATCTGATAAGTCGTCAGTATGTAACCAAGTGATTTGGCCTCCGTGAATGATAAATGAGTGGGGCTATGTCCTGTCCAAGTGAGAGCCATTCACACTGCCGATCAGCCGTTTGTGGCCGAACACTTGAGATTTCGAGCTATCACCCGGGAGATCGTGGTTTCGAGATACCCTGAAGTTTCATTAGGTGCCACTGATTGGATTCACTTAGGGAACGAAACCTCAATCAATAGCTGTTCGTTTAGACACTATGTAAATCTATTAAATACTAACTATGCCGCTGATTTAATTACATATTCATGGCACATTAGTGACAAGAACCACCTAGCCATCGTACGACCTACAAAGGTGTGTATTACCGGCGTAAATACCGAATTTGTGTATGGACCGTGTTGTGTTAAGAGATTTTTACACGGTGAAATGTGCACAACATTTTCTACTTCGGCAATTCCGTTTTAGGGCATCAGCGGTCTTTGGACAAAACAGTTATTCCGTAAGTTTATTCCCAATGTTGACCTAACAGTTGAACGTCCAGCCCCAGTCCATATTAGTTCGAGTTCTCAATATGAGGAAACTATTTACCAGTCAAATCCCCGAAACCACTAAAAGCAATTATGGTCCCATGTGTTTCTTTAATCTGGATATCTTTCCAAGTCAGACTGGCGTATTAGATCAGATTCGGTTAATTTGCTAGACAGCTAAATTATGTCCAGTTTGTGGATAACTAGCTGAAAAGAACGGAGTAGTGTTGCATGGAGACACGTCCGGTGAACTCAAATAAACTCCACAGCACACGATGTACCTTCAGATGAGTCCTCTCAGTGCCACTCATATCGTGGCATGGCTCTGCGTAGACACGGTTTGTGGAGAGCTTCATTATTTTCTCTAATAACAAAAATAAGACGTTGGGGACAGGTCCTGGCAGGTCTCTCTAGGTAATTAACATAACCGGTCAAACGAATTCCGACGACCACACTCTGAGATAATTACCACAGGCAGTGCATAGCACTACCAGCGATACGTAGTTAATATAGTTAACATAGTTAATATATAGTTATATAGTTATAGTTATATATATAGTTATATATAGTTAATATAGATAATATAATATAATTACGCCAGAACAGGAACACAGCCGTTCAAACGAGAGTGGTGTGGCTATGAACAAAATACCTATCCCGCAAAACCCCAAAATTGGTACGTAGTTAAGTTGTCATTTAAAGTAGAATCACTATCTGCACACCTATAAAATCCGACAACCTACATCCTAGATAGTTTTGGATGACTGCGAAATTATCTTTACCTAAAATTTGGCCATGGTGATGCTCTTTTATTTTTGTGGCTTTTTGTGAAAAATGACTTGTTTCTAGCGCAGAAATAAAATTTTTGAGAGCAAAAATACACGGCCTTTTAGCGTTGACTTTAAGCCTTCTATGCAAACAGAATATGGACTGCTGTGGCTTTGCATATGACTCGAACTTCATCCTTTTAAGAAGAAATCTACATAAGAACTTTTGTTTCTGTTTACCTGCAGAATCCCGTTACTTCTCCAACTTCTGAAATTTTCGAAGTTTCCTACCAGTTAAATGACAAACCCATCCGAACAAGCTTTCATATCACACAGTACAGCTGATTGGCCTTTAGATTTCAGTTCCTCCACCGGAAAAACAATCAGTGTACAGGCTTCGACGAGACCTAATCTGCCAGAGTTCAATGACAATGAATCATCAGGAAAGGCATCTGAGTTCGGTTCACCTAATGCGCCCATTCTATCAACACCGAGCGAACAGTTTACGACAGAGCTTTATGAAATAGAGCTCAGAGGACAACGCTTCGTATGCATAGAAATGGGTGGGGAACAGCGACTTTGTCTTGCACAGATCTCTTCTACGTTGCTGAAAGAGTACACATACAACGAGATTCACAATCGCCGCGTTGCACTTGGAATCGTCTGTGTGCAGTGCTCCCCCGCACAGCTCGAGGCACTCCGCGAATCGGGCGCAATGCCACCATCCTCCAGGAGATGCGGAACCATCACACTACGTGAGGCCGAACGACTGATTAAGTCTTTTCTGGACGAACCGGAACACCCAAAATTGCCGGACAACTATGTATTTGACGTAGTGCACCATTGTGGATGGGGATGCTATGGTCAGTTTGTACCGGCACGATATAACAGTTCACGGGCGAAATGCGTACGCTGTAACGCCTGCCAGGTGAGTACAGCGTTCCTTGTTTTATGGAAATAGTGGCACCATCGGTCTGGCTGATTAGGCTCTCTGCACTGATGAACTTTCTAAAATGTAAAGCCAACCAAAATACACATAATGTATGTTTGCACTTGCCTATCTCTTGAGGACGTGTTCGTAAGGTAAAATTCTTTTCAGTTGATCCACGTATTATTCACTACGAATTTGGTCGAACAGACTGTGCGCTGAGTGTGAAATTTATTTGGCTTGATTACTGGTAAAAAGAGGGAGGTAGCTGGTAAGTACCCTCATGAATGTCACGCACGCTGAGCTCCGAAGCTCTATTCTACTCTGATTTTCAACCAACAATAAAACCGAACTGTATAATTCTAGCTGATCGTAAACATCTGACTTGACGAAGGCAAACACTTGTTAAAACTCAGGTATCCTCCTGGACAATACGCCTTGAATTTTGACTGCTATTTATTCATAACTGTGGAGATCTATTTGAGTTAATGCCCCAATTTTAAGGTTGCTGAAAGCCCATCGACTGCCCACAACCGGTTTTGCCTTTCTTAGGGCTCATCAGTTAAGCTCAGTCCCAAAAATTCCTCAGGTTCCACTTACACCCTAATCGCACGAGATTTGCGAAATACACTCATTTGCAAACCAATTTGTTCTCACGGGAGACTCATCCAGAACCCAGGTGAATCTCTCGTTTATATGTTACATCTATACAAGTTTTTAAAAAACATCATAAACAACACATAAAACTGGGTTCCGTGTGAGTCTCCGGCAAAACCAAATTGGTTTGTGAATGAGTGTATTCCGTTTAGAGCTAGCTGACTCCATTTTAATTCAATTCAGCCGATGCTGACTGGAATCCCAAGAACGGCCAGTAGGATGTAAACAAGAAAATAATCAAACATACGCTAAGCACTGAGGATGGTAACCATATAGGGAAGCATAGGAAGCACACGCACAAGTAAATAAAAGTCAGAAACGTCAGCGACTCTTCCCGGCCAATAAACGTTTTATCCAAAACAGCACTCAATTTATAGCACTGATCCTGCATGACTGCCCAAGTCGCGTTGTTTAGATCTGTTGCATTACCATGAACCTGAAAAAACTTTGCAACAGGACCAAAGTGCTGAATGAGCTTGTCAAGTAGCAAGAACGTGTGTGGCTCAGGTAACCCAATCTTCCAAGGTAAAAATTTTGGTCGACCTGAAGAGCTACATTCCTTGTTTGAGTTGGCAATTCTAACCCAGCAATCACTGGTCGTCATGGCAGCTGGATCTTAATCTTTCAGTTAGAAGGTTTTCGTAGCCTTTACCCATGCAGGTAGTTTTGAGGGATGCTCAAAATGCCAAACGACTTCATCGTCTCCTTGCGGCAAATAAATAGCCGGTAAACTTTCATGGTGGAGAGTTGACTTCGTGTGATTAACTATGTATAATCCACCTGAATATTTGTCAGGGGGACGCGTAAGCCCATGTTAGTTTGTGACCAGCGCGCGGATTTCGCAAGATCTACTACTGATTTGGCACTTCCCTCCATGCTTCTTTCTATCCAAAAGCCACCTATCTGGTCTCGTCTGCTGTATTGTCGTTAGGACCCCTCACCTAAATAATAGATTCCGCATTACTTTGAAGACATTACCATTTGGCGAAACAGACAATTGTGGTCTAACCTACTCTTCCCAATCTCCTGATTCAGGGCTAATTCCGCTTCATCCCTGGAGTGGGTTTCGGTGCGGTGCTTTATCCTTCATCAAAATTCACAGTTAAGCCTGAGCTATCTGTATTGCTGTTCACTAAAAATCCTTGCCCGTAACCGGGCGGAGTCAAAGGGCACTGCACCGACAGTACTATTGCCAGTCAACTGTTTTTGAACTGGCTAGACACATCTCTTTGAGGTTTCGAAAAGAAGAAAATCTAATTATGATAGTGAAGTTGCATCGTAGGCTTGATCGTGATGACACGTTGATTGGCTGAGGTGCTCTAGCAAAGCTAGACAACTTTCACGAGGATGACTGAAATATTATACTTAAGTGTGTTGAAGCTGAGATTGTTAAAGTGAGAAATTCGTAGTCTTTTTCTAGCCGACACTATACAGCTTCGCCTATCAACCAGCGGCCGAAACGTCATTGGCTTGAAATTCTGAGCTTCGTGAGAAGCGTACTGCTGATGATTTCAAACAGAGTTAAAGTAGCAACAAAGTGCTTGTCAGTTCTTCAGCAAAGATCGGCTTTGTTGACATGACATGAACATTGCCAAATCTCAAATGATCATATTTGGTGTTGGTTTGTTCTCACACATCTTTGCTGAAAATTATCTAGTCACCTGCTAAAATCTGTGCTCCAAGTTTCTCCACTAGTGTCACAAGTTATGTTGATTTCGCCTGCTATGAGAACCTAGGCCAAATTAGGCCATGCTTGGTAACAGATGCATTCGATGTTCTTGTTATTTCCGTTCTTTGGGAATGCGTTGGGACTGAGGTGCAATGAGACTGGGCATCAGAGGACTGAGCCATCATGTAAACACCAATTTAATCACAGATGCGTTTTCAACCAGGCTAAAAACCTGTAAATTCACGGGTAGTGGGAAACGACTTCCCGACTACTCCAAATTTCTATACAAATCTGCCGGGAAGAATAAGGGCAATTTTGGTTGAACAGTAATATGTTTTCCAAGGATTAAGAAACCGTTTCGCCGCTCTGCCTAGATAGAAATGCATGCATAGTTGAAAAATGATTGCTTTCCTATCGAAAAAAAACATGGCGATAAAGGAATTACACAACGGGTTATAATATAAGCAGGCTCTCCCATAAAAAGAAAAAAGACGACTGAAAAAGCTCAGACAAAGCCAACTTTCTTTGTAACCCTCTTGTCCATTAATAGTATCAAGTTTCCACAATCCCGGTCATTGGTGCCAAAAAAAACACCTATGTTTTCCACGAAGGGGAACGGAATAGAACACTTTGGCGTGACTGGTCAACAGGTAGGTGCACGTGTACGTACTCTCCAATGAAGAACTGAAACACATCGAGACCAAATGGCACGTAACTACATAGGTTGTACAGGCAGAATCAGTAAGTATCACAATGCCGAAAGAAGGGGCATGTTCCAATTTGAGTTTTAAAGTAGAAAATGAACCGAAACTCATGGCTATTGCCTGCTCGCAGTCCACAGCAACCGGCGTTTGACGAATATCCTTGGTTCCGGATCACCGAACTGATCTGGTCTCAGCGTTCAACACATTGTTCTGGTACGCACGCAGTTTCAGATGTACGGAGGCTGCTGCACTCAGTTCATTCGGGCCCACCTTATTCCGCCTTAGGTTCTGTAACTCTAGTTCGGCCGATAAATGTTGTGCAGAAAATAAATATTTTTCCGCTGTTATTGAGACTTTCCTACTGACTAGCCAATAGGAGGTACGTGAGTTTACCAGTTTCCGTCTCCCAACTGTTTCGTTGAGCTTGACATATAATTGCAAGATTTCTTCAGAATGTGTGAGTGGTGATATGAGTCAACAGACGATCAGGTAGGGAAATCTTTTTAAATTGTTCCGGGGGGGGGGGGTCGGAAATAAACGTCCGATATGGGATGGTTAGAGCTGGATTCAACTCTAAATGATTCTGATGCAGTTGTACATGTACGTAAAGCGCCAATACGTGAGTAAGAAAAAAATCGGTGACACGCAGGTTGCATTTCTGCTCCCGAGCCCTCAAAGTGACGTGTATCGGATATGTTTATACCATACACTATGTACACTGTATACATACTATACATATATTATTTCTTTACACTATTTTGCACCACCAAACGACCTTATTTAAATGGTCTGAACATAGCGTTAGCAGGTGACTCATTTGTGCCATAAGTATTCACATGGGATTTATGGTCTCCCTTCTCCATCCTTTCTGGCATTCCTGGTGCTCATGCGTAGTGAGCCCCTCAAATTAGCGCTGAATGGATTCAATCTGATTCTCACTGATAGTCCGTTTTTGATTGTAAGTTATCCTCGCTCCTGCTCTCGCTGTTATGTTTACTGTTGTTGCTAACGCCAGGGTTACATTTATTCTGATACTGGGTGTTCAGATATTTTTGGTGCTAATGCAATCACCCAACTCAGTAAGGAGTGAAAAGACGAAATGCACTGAGCTTTTTGTCCTGTCAATTAGGAAAATACCACTTGTTTGTCACTGAGGTTTCGTGTACCAGTTTTAAACTAACGGCAAAATCAACGCACTTCCTTTGGTAGAAATACCCAGAAGCCAACTGAATTTAAAAGTCGATAGGAAAAAGGAACCAACGTAGCAAGATATGGTTTCGAGTAATTGGCGTTCTGGTGTGCGTGCACTTTCAAGAATTGGTACGACAGCGTGACGGACACCAATAACTTCAATACAAATATCAATACCTGTAATGAGATACTTCGTTTGCTATATCGGCCTCGCAGTTTCTCAGACCATGCAAACGGAGCCAGCCTGCTTTAAAGGCTTGGAAGAATTGCACAGCTGTTTGCTTTTTAGTTAATCATCGGTAAAAAATCAAAACTCCTTGATTTAATTCCGGACAATTCAAGGTTCAGCTACGAGTGACCCGTATATACAGCTTGAATATGGATAAGGCTTTGCGCTGTGCATACTTCAGTCGCTGAGCTTGAGTTACGTAAAGCGGTATTGCTTGGCATTTCGAAGGTCAGCTTTTCGGAAGAGAGCCAAGCATATTTTCCTAAACTACCATAATGAGTGTACTTTGGATGCTTACCGAGTGAAATACTTTGACTGATCATTACCTGTTTTCTAGGTACCATACGTTTAGTTCACTCGCTAAATGCAATGCAAATTCGAAACATTAGACTCTTCTCTTTGCCTCTAAGTTTCTCAGGAATGTGAGAAAGGAAGTGCGAGAGAGTGACAAGGAACATAATAATGTGGGATAACGGTAGTCGACAAGCTTTTGGCCTACCTACGTCATCAACTAATCACACTGCAGAGAAACAGGCATCAAGAATACACGTGAAATGTTCCCACAGCCAGATGTCCTTATCCGCATTCATGAACTCAGCTGATCAAATGTGTGCAGTGCGGGTATTACAGATTTTGCCCACAGTTTCGTAACGATAGTCAGGTATTTTTGGCAAGTTAATGGTTTTTGCTGACGTTACTAGTTCGACTGAAAAACTGTCCTTTTTCAGTAGATAGAAAGTACATGTGCAATGAAGCCAAGATCCCTAATGACAAAATGGATATAGTAAACGACCGCTGAAGTCTGAAGAATATCAGTGAACCGCTTATGTCTGACAATCAATCTAAAGAGAGCATTGAAGGCGGATTTTGCCTTTTTCAGAAAATTCTCAAGCAAGTTCACTCAAAACAACAAGCATCTTGTGGTCAAATTTTTATAGCAACCGCGACCTAGTTGCAATTAATCTTTCAATAGTCTTTCAGCTCACAACGGAATCATCAAAGTTTAGCACGACTGAATGCACGATGGGCAAACACATCCGCCCACCAACTACCTGATAAACCCAAAAAAGCGTGTAGACCACGAACAATATTTGTAGCACTGTTGAGATCATTGTTTGCTAATTAGGTGGCTGTCGATCTGTTCTTAGAGCCTGCAACCAGACTCACAGGCAACATGTCAAGATCGTTGAGACTGCCGACGGCCAACTGATCAGACACCGATATAGGTTTTCAGAGAATTTAGACCGCTTATCCTATAAAGTTTACAAATAGACTTTTCAAAGTTTTCCTGTGTAACAAACATTTTACTTTGTTCCACTGTTAAGTGGAACATTGAAACATCCAACACTCCTTAAATAGAAGGATTTTAACATAGTAAAAGGAAAGAAACAATAAAAGTAGACTTCCGAACCTTTATTTCAGACGTACTTTTCTCCGAACAAGTTCATCTTCCACAGCCATCCACCTCAATCCCCGCAAGCCCTAGACAGTGCCAAATATCGCCACCCAGATGCGGCTAACTTCAACGCTTGGAGGCGTCATCTATTCCTTTCACAACACTCCGCTGAACTGAATCTGGTACATGCGTGGGAGGATGTGAAAGCAATGTTCAATGGAGGTAACCGAAAACGGAGTTTACAAACATCAAACGGCGATGATAATCTAAATGACGGGTGCCTCACTCAGGATAGCTTGGCAAGCTTTCAGATCTCCATTTTAAGAAATGACATCCGGCAGAGCGTACCCAGTTCTGAAAAGAAAAATTGTGTGGACTTCGTGAAACATGAATATGTTTCAAAAGTTTTTGGTCCTAAAAACTGTAGAAACAAAAATCCCAGATCAGCTGTGGGAATTGATAATCAGGCTCAACTGGTTCAGGAAGGATTCATGTTCCCCCGCAAGCAGTCACGGCAAGACATTAATCAAATTACCTCAGATATACAGACTGCTGTTCACAGTACATCAACACCTCTACCAATGGTTTGTTATGATGACTTTCAAACCAATCCACCATCACAACCCTGCAACGGTCTTTTCCGAGGAACTTCAGGAAATAAGACCTCACTTTTTTCAGGTCAATTCAGTTCACCGAGAGAAAGTTCGCACCAGTTTGAGATGTGGTCATCCTTGCTTGAAAACCAGCCTCCAAAACGCCATTTCCTGCCACATTCTGATAAAGGCTGGGTTACTTTATCACCCACAGGAAGGGAAGAGTCCAGAAAAGTGCAAAAGTCAGAAGATCGGCATTCCTGTGGAGATATAGTTGATTCAGAGTACCCATGGACAATGAATTTTGCTTTACGTTTTGTCGATTCTCTAAGGAAAACCCTTTCCGTAACAGATGAGCCAAGAAACTTTTGTGATCCAACTAATGAACAGACGTCACGCCAGATTTTAGAATTTTCCGAAGCACATTGTAACCACAGAATTGGTGAACGCAAACCCATCGCACCGGCGTCAAACAACCAAGATGCGTCGCACCGTAGTTCTGTAGCCAGTGTGCGCGGGACTTTGGTTGAACCTGTGCATTGCATTGGGAGGCTGCTTGTATAATACTTGTTGAATGTGCATAACTTTTATTTATTTTTCAAATCGCGCACCAAAGTGCTTGAAGCTAGTCCTTGTAAATATGGTTACAATAAAATTACAATCAACTCCTTCTTCCGTTTGCCGGGATGAAATCACTGCATGTACTCCGAGAAGTAAACGGGAGTGAACAGCGAAACGGTGGGAAATACTAATGCTTCCGGGATTTGATCAACGGCTATTGGATAGAACAAAATTTTTGAAGTATGACACTTGAATTTCATTATGAAGTGTAAATAAAACTTTATTAAAAGCTAAAAGGTTGAGAACAAGTGTTTCCTCCTCGTGACACATCCATCAATCATGTCACTTGCAGTGTCCATGTAAAGACCATTCAAACCGCGTAACCCCCGCCTAACTCGCTGCCTTCAATTTGTAAGCAAAATGAGTTGCAAGTAGGGAGAACCTGAATTTGCAGGGTCTAAAAACTGCTTTCAGTCAAGTCTTCTAGGTATTCAAAGTTACCAAACAACTGGATCTGTCAAACAGAAAATGCTCTTACAGCGAACACCTGACAAAACGCAAAGCAGCAACTGAATGTTATGTTTTGATACACTGTCATTTTCACTGGTCTAAAACTTCAGACTTGTTAGGCTCTGATTGTCAGAGGGCAATGACGATGAAGGTTATCGTGGATTTTCTAATATATTCCGCTTCACGATTACCCAGAGCACCTCGTAGGTTTCTTGTTGAGGCGATGCGATTCGCAAAATTGTCGGAATGCCACAAAATCATAACAATTTGCAATCAAACTGCTCTGTTTGGCCGGGTTTTATGAACTACTTATATTGCCTGGAGTAGCACGGCAAATCAGTGAGTTTTTGTTGAGCTGCTGGTTAGCAGGAGCACCAAGAATGATTAGTAATGTAAGGGCATTCGGCTGAAAATCAAATATCCGTGTTTAAGTTTACTTACAGGTGAGCATGTAAATTCAGAGGGCAAGACTGGGGTCCACATCAAACCCACGCACATTCGAAAACGTGTGATTAGAGCAACAGTGCTCCGGTTCTTGCGAGCAAGTCATCGACATGATCTCTGTTGCACAATGCACCGAGAAACCTGCCAGTAAGTGTCAGTTATGAGTTGGTGTTCGATGAACCCTGAAGCAATAGATACAGCGTTAGAAATATTAGTCAAACTGCATCGTCCTGACAGAGACTAAGATCTTCTCGAATTTGGCTCCTGCTTCATCATGCCACAACATTCCTCATCGCTTTTGGTTCCTCAAAGAGGACTTCAGGGAGGTTCCCTGGGCAAATGTCTTCAATTACCTCCACATGCCCATAATGTTTCAGTTAATAATTTTTGCCTTAGCCAAACAACTGTGGAGTCGTTCCTACCCATTCATTGCATCACTGTGTTTCCCCCTTCCAATAAAATTATGGACGCATGAGCCACCTACAAGGAACACTTGTCGAAGACGATGGTGCCCGAAGTTCATGGTCTACATATTTCACGTCGATTACTAACTACATTCTCCAGCTTCTTCGCAAGTTTGAATGAAATCATAAAAATGGATTGAATAAATGATGAAAACAATTGGACATTTGTTAGTAGAGTGATGTTCATTTGTTAGTAAGCTGAGGTCAAATGATATAGATCATAAGGACAGTGTTCAAGACCGGTGAACCTTACGCGCTTTTCAGCGAAACAGTAGGTCATTTATGAATAGCACATATTTTTAAGCAAAAAATACAGTTGACAGGGTTTTTGGGATAGCAGATAGAATCAAAAGGAAACAACGGTTGACCACATCTGTGGAAAAACATGGAGTGTGATGGCAAGCCTAATTTTTGAATAGGCTGTTTCTTGGGCACGTCGTGCTTTGCTTTTATATGTCATCACGAAGAGACTGGACGTTACCATGGTGTGACGGTTTGTGTGCCTCCGTGACCCATTGAACTATGCTAGGTGTTGTCCTCGCGACACGCACACAGTCTCTCATACCACGTTGGTCAATGGGTAGAGACCTCAACAACTCAGTCTCCCGGCCCACCAGATTAGGGGTTATAACATGTATGTCAACTTGTTCTATAAAATGGTAATTTACTTGCATTTCCCGCCAAACACCACTGCCTTGCGGTCAGGTCTTTAGGCCAAATGTTTTGGTCGATTAGCCTAATCGCCCTTCCGTCTAGGTCTAGGCGCCATGGCAATATCCCAGCCCACATATAAACATGGCACTTACAACTAACAACACACTCATGTCACATCGGCTGTCGCGTGGTCTCATCAGAAGGGTCGCATTATTTGCTGCATACAGCAGAGCGGATGAGAGAAAATCAGACTAATGTTGGCGCCTCACTTCATACACTTTCACGTTTTAGCTCCTCCGTCATACCCAAAGTTGAATGTTCTCTCCGCAGATCCTAGCACCAGGACGGACCGTTTGGCTCGCCATGAATCACCCACAGCTACAGCTTCTGTACTTTCGAGTTCAGTAACAGCCCTAAACACTTCGGAGTCTGTTTTCAAACTCCGAAAGCTTGTCTACTTAGCCGCCATTAACCTTTCTACACTGAAGCAAGCGGAGAAACAAGTGGCTCTTGCTCGAACGCTGGATCCCTTCTCCATCGATGTCTGCTGTCTGTCAGAAACAATAATACAGGACCCCAGTACTGTGATCGAACAGACTACCACACCACCCTTATAAGTTCTGGCTGCGCAACTCTAGTAATGCAGCGGCCGCTACAGGTGGATATGGTGGGGTAGTTATTGTATCGAATAACCGAGCGGGGGCTTTTCTACTTGACTGGACACCCGTTGACGTTTGTTTGGCAACATCTGTGAGAGAATCTAGAGCGTGTGTCTGATTACGCCCAAATTGACCGTAACTCCAAATATGTCGAGTAGGCTTTACGACGATCTAGGCGCTCTTTTACAAGAGGGAAAAAGCTCTGATGTCGTTGTGGTTGCCGATGGTATGAACGTCAAATTAGGGCGACTAAACACTGCTGCTGACCAATGGGTTGGTTGTTTTGTTTTGGAAACAAGACGCACGGACAACGTAGATCCTCTGCTTTGGACGTGTGCAGATCAAAGGGTGTTTTCTTGCATACCCAATTCCAGAATACTGGAAGCCGTTCGACAACACAGTGTACCCCAACAAACCATCCCAGAATCCAAATAAACCACCTCACAATCGGTGTTCGTTGCTGACCGTAAATCGCCGCCTGTCACTCCTGGAATACCAGCGTTAACTCCTACAATGCACTTGTATGCCACTGCTTTCATTTCACTTTTCATTTCCGGGCGAACCGCATACACCTCGGTTAGCCACTGAAAAGCTGATAAACCCAGAAATTAAACGGAACCTTCAAAACCTGCTTCTCCAACGTCTACTGCACTTTCCGATATCGGATATCAGTAGTCAGTGGGAAAAGACAATGAAGCGCTATCTAAAACCGGAACTACTGTTTGCGGTACAATCCAACCAACCTCATCCAAACGTTGGATCTCTGATACTGAAAACCGCGAAGTTCGGTGGACCCGGAAGGCCCAAGAAATGGAAGACTCATAAAATGCTGAAAACGTTCGGAGGCTGTTCTACTTGACTGGTTAGACTGGCCTTTGGAAACCCGGTGTCAGCAAAATTATCAGGGACGAAAATGGCTCCCTGTTATCAAATAAACCAGAACGTTTAGACCTCTGGGCATAGTCTTTTGAAAAGTAATTTGGTTGGCCACCTGCTAGATCCAAACCTAGCTTTTAAACCGCAGAAGTATCCGACTGTATATCTCCAGTCAAGCGTCATCGTGTTGCTGGTCTTAATGACCTTCCGCCTGCTTTGATCAAAGGTGGCGGTGGTTTTCCCAGCCAGTACCTGTCTAGTTTATTTGGGTCTATCTAGGAGAAAGAGACCCCCCAGATAACTGGAGTGCATTAGTAATGGTTCCCATCTTTAAAAAGGGTACCCGCATTGAACGTAGTGACTACGAAGGTGGTAGGTTGACTCCTGTCGTGACGAGGCTTCTGACGTCACCGAATCCACATCGCCCTACGCACATGAAACCTTGACTCTTGAGAGCCAAGCGAGAGTTTGATGGGGTAGATGCAACGTTGACCACATCTTTACAGTATGTCAGGTGTTAAAGAAACGCCATATGTATAGACCACACACAATCTTAATGTGTACTGACTTCAAGGGTGCGTTCGATTCTGTTAATCGGTGAGTGTTGCTAACCATTTTTACTCAATGGGAGTTTGCAAACATAATCCAGTCCATATATTCATATACGTACTGGTGTGTGAGAGTGTGTACTCAGTTCTCCAGAAGCTCCTCTCGAAAGAAGTCGGACAAGGAGGTCCACTCTCCACGTTCCTTTTCAACTTCGTCATTGATAAAATAAGGAGTCAAATTCTGGAAGATCTTCAAACCCCGCAAGTCAGCTCACTGTTGGTGAGAAACTTAGCAATCTGAAGTACGCAGACGACATCACCCTAATCTTTGAAACTGAAGGCGAAGCACAAGCCCTGTTGAATAAACTGACCGTCTCTCTACTATCTTTCGCACGCGCCTTGAAAAAAGTGCAAATTCACGCTTGAGTAAGTACATTCTCTAAAGACGCCCCTTATAATTCAAGTAGAATCACTGGAGATTGTGAAGAATTTAACCATCTCGGTGGTTGTACTAGCTATGACGGAACTGTATCTGATGAATTCATTGCAACAAGCTCAAAGGTTCGAATCATGCTTGCTAATGTGCATTACTTGTGGCGCCAAAATTGCATATCAGTGGGCCTCAAGTCTCGCGTGCACCAGGCTATAGTGAGGTCGGCGTTGTTTTATGTCTGTAGGACATAGCGTCTCCGGACGGATGACGTGAGGAATCTTCAGGTTTTTGACCAGAAACATTACTGGTTTTTGAAAGACGACTACGGAGTAGCCAGCGGGTGATTAAAAAACGAATACTTGGTTGCTCAGCAGGTACTTGAATCGCGGAAAACATCCAGCATACCGAAACATCGTCTACCAAAACGAATGTCGTTTCCGTGCCTCCTTCACAATAGCGTAAACCACGAGATGGACAGTGTTTTTCTTGGCAAAAGGATGTGAAGGAAATTTCGAGGAGTTTGGGTGTTGTTAGTTGTACGCCTTTCAGGATGGGATTTCCGTGACGCCACCTGCGCTTGGCTGGAAGAAATAGCGGCTGATAGATCCAGATCCTTTTCAAATGACATAAAAAGCGCCACCAAGGTAGTAGTATTGATGCCAAACCTAAGCTTCAGGTGACAGCACGGAACACTGTGAGTTGTGGGGCAACTGAATACACCCGTTAAAAATGGTATCCGAATGCACAACAAACTACAGAGTGAAGTCGCTGTAACTGAATACTAAGAATCATCTGCACGCATCATGCGCCAAAACTATCTGTAAACCTCATTTGAAGGTAATTTACAGAAAAGCCATTAGGAATAGACGATAAAAAGCGCCTTGCTGAAGTCCACATGTACAACATCTTTGTGCATCAGTCAACAGGTGCCGTTGTTTACCGAACTCTGGAAAGCATCAGATTCATGGTACAGGAACGGTATTTCCGAACTCTGTGTTGGACAGAGGAAATCGTATCAGTCTCGTCGAACTTCCATTACATTGCCTGTTTTATTATGCGTTCAACTACCGAATTTCGGCTAAATGACCTGTATTGATGAGGATAGTGATGGAAGCCCTTTTTACTGTTTACCACCTCAGAACTGTTGACAGATTTCCCAGATCGGCATTAAGATGTGAGTTGCAAAGTTTCCAGAGGACTATAAAGGTAATCTAATCGGGTCCTGGTGCGTAGTTTGGATCGATATTTGGAGGAACTGCACAAAGATATCAGCTAGTCCGGCGAAAACGATGAAAAACGTATATTGGTAGTCTGCCATTAGAATACATTGAGGTATACCGTAATGCAACGCTGTGGTCTTAGAGAACTCGTCTGCTGGAAGTTTACTGGAGCTGCCGGACACAAGTGGTGGAATCTCCAGGCAACACTTATTTCCAACGTTCAGGTAAGTATCTAAGTGCTTGTGAAGTATGTTTCATGAAACCGTTAGATTCGCTTCATGGACTCCCCAATTGCATTGCTTAACGAGTGCAGGCATTTTGGCGCGACTTGCAACTCGAATAGTCGGCCTTAGAGTAAGATTGTTTAGGACAATCCTAAAGTTTTTCCTACTTCTCATCATAGTTTGTCATTCCAAATCCAACCACGGGGTCTTCATTGGCGATTCATCTGCGGGAGACTAGGATGGCGGCTTCATGATTTGTTGCAAACTTGTCCCTGAAAAGTCCAATAGTTCTTGAGGTCCAGGTTTTGGGCCGTTGGTTGAGCAGCTAGCCCATCTTCCAGACGGGCCGGAGTAAAATAAACGGAAGGAATCTGGCAGCCTCACTAATCCTTTGGAAAGAGAGTGAGTGGATCACTATTTCCAAATAGAGGAATGTGACTCACCCGATAAAAATCAATAAACGCTTATGTGAGGGAGTGGCTAGACTGGCCTAACAGGAAACCAGCATGCTGGGTGACGGAGTTAACTTGGTTAAGGTCAGGGACGCTTTTAAGTAAGATCTGTTCGAAGTTGAAAAAGTGCGTTAAATGCCAAAGCCTACTGCAGTGAACTAATGGGAAGCTGAAGTTCTTAGGATTGAGATTAGTAACCCGGCACTCTAAGAGACCAAGCAGCTCAAGAATGAAAGCTCCTCTGGAACCAAAACTTCGGTGTACGAAACGAACGGTGATAGATTTAAACTCAATATTCCCTTGGCAATATTTTGATTCTTCTGCTTGTTCACCTTCTATAAGAGTAACAACCACTTACGATAGTAGAGTATGATCCCATCTCCGGTTCGATTCACTGAGCGTCTTGTTTGAATGCAGCTGGATATATCCAATTTTTTTGCGGATCCTGACACTGATGAATGCTAAGATTTTAGGGATTTGTTCCTCCAGGATGGTTGAAATTTCATCCCCATTGTTCCGCAAGCTTAAAGGGTAACAAGTGACTAGAACTGGTTCTCAGGGCTCAGTGCGCTTATGGTGCTTGACACTCATCTTGTCTGGAGTTACTTTATTACTTGAAAATCCACCCATCTCGCAAGTCTTTTCCAAGTTCAGCCGTTATGTTTCCATGTTTCATGCTGTCTTCCGCGGGAAAGTTCACGATAATCTCCGAAGCAATGCGACACACCTGATAACGCTAATCCTTCCAAATCTGGTAAGATTGTGCACCTGCTTCGTCACTTGTTCGGCGTTGAGTTTTTGGGCTGAGTCCCCGTTATTTATTTGTGTCACAGTAAACCGCTA